AGTGGTTGTTGTTGCTTCATGTCTGTCATATTTGTTTTTCGTAAATTGTTTTTGTTAGAAATTCGGCCGTTAGTTTTCTCAATTGAATTGTTTCATTTTTTCATGTCAGAGCCTTTTCTCGCCAACTTATCCGATAACTTGTTAGTAATGATGGTGTGCTGGTTCTATTGACGAATAAATATTACTTCAATCTACCTAATATCTTCTACCGATTACGTGTTACTTCTGATAGTGCATGCTGTTTCAATAGACCACATTCGAGTTCTGTCCTTCACCGGAAAAGTTCGTTAATTATGCGCGCCTTTATGACGTCATTTAACAGATAGAGGGGATCGCTTGTATCCCTGCACTATTAAAGGTCGTCAAGCGTCTTCGTGATCGTCATTATGCAGGATAAACTAGAAATAATGTTTGTTCCGTAGTTACTTAATCACAATTTCCTTAATGACAGCAGTGCTGATGATCAATTATAAGAATTTAATTTGCCGAATAATTAATTTGTGCAGTATGGCATCATATTTTTTTCAACCGCTCGCTCAACATGGAAAGGAAGTGACTATGGCCCTAAATGTGGCTATAATGCACGAACGATGTTCAATAAAACCAAAGTTTTTGACGGACAAATATTACTTCTATCGATTTATACTCACTATAGACGTTCGTCTGATAGTGTGCTGTTTCTTTTTACGGATAATAATATTCTTCAGGCGAGGCATATTAGCAGGATTTTTTAATTGTTTAGTAGCTGTCTGAATGACGATCGAATTTTGTACCAAACTGACTGGACCAATAAAAAAACCGAATTTATCAGTACTAGCTTTAAAGTTTCAATCTTTAACATATACAAATCTTAAAACTAGAACTAAACTAAAATGACATATATAAACAGCTTTCCGTTCAATTTTGAACTAAACTTTGCAGGTGTTTAGGAGCCGGCGGATAAGAAAACACTACCCCTCCTACTTTCTGGCAAAGAAAAACTAGAAGCTCTCAAGAGCCTGTGTCGCTCACCTGATTCTACTTTGGTTTTGGAAATCATGTAAAAATAGATTAAAATCATAACAGATACTCTAATAATGAGTGAGGCTAAATTTGGTTTAATATTGGTCCTGTAATTTAATAAAAAAAAATCCCGGTGGCCATCTTGAACAGTAAATCGGCAACAAAGTAGCAACACTTCATCAGCACCTCATAAGAAACATTTATGACATGTTTGGTTTCATTCCATTCAGTGCACCTCTAGAAGAAGCATTTAAATAAAATTGAGAATGGAAACGGGGAATATGTCAAAAAGACAACAACCCGACCAAAGAGCAGACAACAGCCGAAGGCCACCAATGGGTCTTCAATGCAGCGAGAAAATCCCGAACCCGGAAGTGGTTCTCAGCTGGCCCCTAACTAAAATTGTGTGCTAGTTCAGTGAAAATGGACGTCACACTAAACTCCAAAACATATAAATGAACTAAAATTAAAAAACATACCAGACTAACAAAGGCCAGAGGCTCCTGACTTGGGACAGGCGCAAAAATTTTACGGGGTTAAACATGTTTTGTGAGATCTCAACCCTCCCCCTATACCTTTAGCCAATGTAGAATAAAGAAACACATAGCAATACGCACAGTAAAACTCAGTTTAAAAGAAGTTCGAGTCCGATGTCAGAATAGGTAACAAAAGAAACTAAGCAAAATGAAAACGATACATAAATGAACAAAGGACTACTAACAGTTACTGACATGTCAGCTTCAGACCTCAATTAAACTGATTGAAAGATTATGTCTTCATCAAATGAAAATCAAGTACAATCCCTCCCGTTAGGGGTTTAGTATCATACCATCATAAAATATATGAGAAGAACATAACCCGTATCATGCCAACAACTGGTTTTAGAATAAATGTGTTTATTTCCGATGCAAAGGCCCTATGAGTGAATCAATATTAATACCAAAATATGCAATCCTTAATGACTTGACAACAGTATCGTAACTATATCCTTTCCGAATATGTCTGTTTAAAGGTTTGGTTAGCTTTTGAGGTGAATGCCGACATTTTTGTGCTTTTTAAAGAATATTACCATAAAATATTGGATGTGAAATAGCTGAACGTATCAGATGTCTGCATGTTGATTTATATGTACGAATGATGTCCTTGTACCGATGATAAAGTTTAGTAAATGTTTTGACTAGTTTGTGATATCGAAAACCCTGGTGTAATAATTTTTCAGTAATACAGAGATTTCTTTCGTTAATATCAAATACGTTGTTACATACACGAGCGAATCGAAGAAGTTGAGATATATAAACACCATAAGATGGCGACAAGGGAACGTCACCATCTAAAAATGGATAATTAACAATAGGAAATGAAAAATCATCTCTTTTATCATAAATTTTGGTATTAAGCTTCCCGTTAAAGATAAAGATATCAAGATCCAGGAATGGGCAGTGTTTATTGTTAGTATTAGCTTTATTTAAAGTCAGTTCGGCAGGATAAATCTCTTTAGTGTACATACTGAAGTCATCTGAATATCTAAAAGTGTTATTAAATTTTTGAATCAGATGTTGTTTCGATGGGTCTTTGCTGATTTTAGTCATACATTGTAACTCATAACAATACAGAAACAGGTCCGCAATAAGTGGTGCACAGTTAGTCCCCATGGGAATTCCGATAACCTGACAATATACGGAATCTCCATAGCGAACAAAAATGTTATCTAGTAAAAATTCAAGGGCAGTTATAGTATCAAAGCAGGTCCAATTGACATAGTTCTTTTGTTTGTTGTTACTAAAAAATGACCTAAAAGAGTTTGAACATATATATTCGCATTCCGACTTTTTAAATGCCCATTTAATCAGGTGTGCGATTTTTTTCTTATTCTGATTATGAGGCAACGTAGTATATAGGGTAGAAAAATCAAAACTTTGAACAGATTCGAAATCACCAATATAAGCATGCAATTTATCAAGTACTTCCAACGAATTTTTGACACTCCAAAAGTAATTAATTCCACTATTTTCAAAGGCCTTATTTGAACAATTTATTACCAGGTTTTTTATTGTACCAAGTGTACTAGTAAGTAGAATAGATAGTTTAGTAGTGGAACAATGGCTGGAAGACGAAATAAATCCATATTTGTATGGAGTTTTATGCAGCTTCAGAAGCCAGTACATAGTTGAAACTTTCAAGTATTTCCCATAAGGTCTTATGTTAAAGGAAGTCCCCCGCTGGCGGCCATCGTGGATGAAGGATCAGCTTCAAAGTAACAACACTTAGTCAGCACCTCATAAGAAACATTCATGCCATGTTTGGTTTCAATATATTCAGTACGTGATTCTCTAAAAGAAGACATTTGTATGTATTGTCCATAGGGTCCTTTGTTAAACATTGTCCCCAGCTGGCGGCCATCTTGGATAATGGATCGGCTTCAAAGTAACAACACTTGGTCAGCACCTCATGAGGAACATTCATGCCATGTTTGGTTTCATTCCATTCAGTGGTTCTCTAAAAGAAGACATTTGTATGTATTTCCCATAGGGTCCTATGTTAAACTAAGTCCCCCGCTGGCGGCCATCTTGGATGATGGATCGGCTACAACGTAACAACACTTGGTCAGCACCTCATAAGAAACATTCATGCCATGTTTGGTTTCATTCCATTCAGTGGTTCTCTAGAAGAAGTTCACTATGTAAAAAGTTAACGACGACGACGACGGACGCCAAGTGATGAGAAAAGCTCTTTGGGCCAGGTGAGCTTAAAATATCCACTCAAATACTCCGGGAAAGTAAGCAGTTCCGGCTCCACAAATGTTGCCCATTTTCATGCTCATGCAAAGCTAAAATTCGGGGACAAACCAAGGGTTTTACAATCTAATTGAAATACAGACGCTCCATTCTATTTGTTGTTTTAAAGATATTTCGATATCTTCTGGTTTTGTCGTAAGGAAACACATCTTCAAAAATTTGAAGGCTGAAATTGCTTTGGCTGATGTAACAATTTTCATATTTAGAAAGTAGAATGGAGTGTGGTCAGATCCTTGTAAGCAAAGCTAGTGTACATGATTTGTATCGTCATCAGATTAAGGGATGTTTCAGCACGTGTGTTTTCGATACGATAAAAAACAAGAATGTGTCCATAGTCATGGATGCCCCACTCGCACTATCATTTTCTATGTTCAGTGGACCGTGAAAATTTGGGTCAAAACTCTAATTTGGCATTAAAATTAGAAAAATCATATCATAGGGAACATGTGTACTAAGTTTCAAGTTGATTGAACTTCAACTTCATCAAAAACTACCTTGACCAAAAACTTTAACCTGAAGCGGGACAGACGGACGAACAGACGGACGAACGGACGGACGAACGAATGGACAAACGAACGAACGAACGGACACACAGACCGAAAAACATAATGCCCCTCTACTATCGTAGGTGGGGCATAAAAAGAAAATATACGAAAGCAGCAAATAAAGAAAAACAGACAAAACCAAGGACAAAAAAGACAAACAGAACATATAAAGCTATAGATTGAACAAAAAGATATGTAGGTATTATCAATCGTGGACAAAGGATCTTTTTTTAAGGTGGTACATAACACTACAGGGAGATAACTCTGTAAAAATCAGCTGAACGTTTTGATCACGTTCTATTGTTAAGGAAATATTAAGCTTCTCAATGATCAAAATTAGTGTTTGTCAAACTGCTATATATCCAATGAAATTTTTCCGATAAAATGTGTGGTTCGAGTTTTTTGAAATTTTTATATTTTTGTCAACGGGTCAAAGTTAATATTTTGTCAAATTGTTATGAAAATTAAATGAGCCAAATTAATTTTAGTCAAGGTGTTTGGTACCACCTTAAATCAGATTAAAACGCTTGTCTAGCGTACAAAATTATAAGACTGGTACATGTGTCTTTGATGAGGTTGTTTTATTGAACCATGATTGTTCCGAAATATTTAATTGTTTCTGGGCGGATAGTTCTTTCAAGGACTGAAAATCTGCAAAACCAATCCAATCTTTATTAAAATACAAAATTCAATATCATTATGACAAACAAAATGCATATTTACAAAATGTATACAAATGAGAATATAAACAATTAAATAAGTTAAGTTAATTTGGATAGATATTTAGAGATGATTCAAGTAAAAGGCATTTTCGAAGTAACATTTTTAAAATAAGTACTTCAAATCAACGTGTTATATATGAGGGTATAGATGGAGTCCTTCATTTCTGTACTTTTTATTATTTATGTCATTATTTTCTATTCTTTATATTTTGGTACCCCATTATCCTCTATTTCAAATTTAATTCCTTTTTTTCATCCTTTGTTTTTTTTGCCAATTTTTCTATAGTATTTTCCCATTATTCTCTATTTTGTAAACAAAATCCAGGCGCCTCATATATTTACAGCACCAAAAAGGATTTGTTACCGATTTACAAGGCAGAGGCGTGGTTTATTACAAAAAGACGATGCGCTAGAAAACAAATCATGTAATCATTAAGAACATCTGAACTTATCAATAGACTAACTCGTTTATAATGAAACAGGCTCTGTCTTAATACATTTATAAAGGAATAGTGACAAGATCATTGTCCCAAGATATTACTCTTTGATATTTGGACGTTTCCGTCTACTTTAAGAACGACGGATTTTCCTGTGGTATTTTCGGGGCCTATATTAATGGTTTTAGTTCCTCCACCACCACCACTTCCGGCTCCTCCACTTCCAGAACCACCAGATCCTGATCCTCCTCCAACACCTCCACCAACACCTGTCAACTTTCTGGTCATTGACTCGACCATTGCATCACTCAATTCTCCGCCATTTAACATCATGGCCATCATCATATTATCCATGTCAAAGCCACCATTAACATTATTCATCAAGTCATTGTGATTGTGTGCGTTATTGTTTACGTTGTTGTTTTGGTTGTTATTGTTATTGTTTATATTAACATTGTGCTGCATTCCGCTAATTTTCTGTTCGAGTCTTGCTACTGCTGTTTTAAGTGCTATTGCATCCATTACATCGAATGCCCCCGGACTAGGAACACTCGGAACACTCGGGATACTCGGAACATCCGGAAGAACAGGGCCCATTAGACTAGATATGTCAATATTTTGGCCTCCCATTGCAAACTGTGGACCAACTACCTGTCCAAATCCTCCAGAGGAGACTGCCATCGCAGCTTCCATCATACCTGGACGCTGAAATACTCCAGCAGGTTTTTTGTCGAAAAAGTTTAAATTAATGTCACCTGTCCTAACTTTCGCTTTTCCACCAATGGCATTACCTCCCTTGATATTAACTCGAGCGCCACCTGCATTTACATTTGACTTGAAACCACCGTGATCAACATTTATTGTTTTCTGTCCAGTTGCACGACCAACTGTACCTACAAGATTTACCTTCTGTTTGTTAACAATCTTTGCACTATTTTCAGCTTTCTTTATAACATTTATGATTGGCCGCCGATCAAGTACGATAACTGGTTTAGGACGATTGAACACAACAGTGAGGGGTTGATCCTTCCTAATATTGACATCCGTTTTGGAATTTATAACTGTCTTTTTAACTATCTTTTTAGCCATATTTCCTTTGATATATTTTCGTGCTGCATAGCCATTGTCATATCCATTGGGCATGACCGGAAGTCGTGAACCGAAGTTGTTGTAACCTCCTCCACTAATTGGCCCATGTAGTGAATTGTGTATATTGTTGCCACTTGCCAAATAGACTGGCTTGTAAACGTTCATGGGGTTTCCATAGTTTGGACGATTCTGAAATAATGATTGAAGCAGCATAAATAAACAGACACACACACCACACACAATTTTATAAGCATTACAAGCAACAACAAAACACAACAAAAAAAGCAGTATATTATTTTTAAATAATTCGATAAACGAATTCAACAAGCACCAGGGCATTATGAATATAATTGTTTATTCTGAAAACAGACAGCTGATGTACTATGCTTACTTATTACAGGTTTGAAGCACACCTATCTGCATCTGTGGTATAAGTTCTAGTTAACAATGCCAAACGATTGGTTATGTGTAGATACATGAGAGTCTGGATGAGGTTTACAGCATATAGAATAATGGCAAAAATACAGAGAATAGCGAAAAATAGGCAAAAAAAAAATAATGAGTAGAGAATAATGAGATGATGAAATATAAAGATTAGAGAATAAGGATAAACAAGAGAGAAAAATGGTATAAAAAGTTAAAGAATTAAGAAATGAAGGACTCTCATCCAGACCCTCATATATGACTCAATATTAGAAATAGAAAGTCACAAATTGTTCAATCTTCTTTTACTGAATAAAATGCAAGTTAACTTTTCAAGATTGCCATAAGCTCGTTCATCCAAAAGAAACAAAAACATATTCTTTGTCTATTTTGGGTTGCTTTCTCTGTATAACCCACATTTCTGAGTATTCCAAGTCAAACAATTTGGGCGACTTTGCCTGATTTTATTTCCATGGTAACATACAGAAGGGTCTTGGTGGATGTCTTCATTTCTGTTTTATTTAATGTTCATGTTCTTTATCTCTTCTTTATCTTTTGCCCTTTATTTTTTATTTTTCATATTTAACCACCCCATTATTCTCTATTTTTAATTTTTTGGCCCATTTTTATTTTTTTTTTTTTTTTATTTAGCTCATTATTCTCTGTTCTGTAACCCCATTCATAAGACTATTAATATATTATTTGAACACACATCCTTTCCCCGATGAAATGTTGCCTTCGGACTTACATGACTTAAGGTCTCGTGGATTATCGAGTAATGCACATTAAACATCATGCGTGGGTGTACAGCAATAATTCTTCACAACTAACGTGTGAAAATTATCTGTGAATCGGACATCTTTATTCGTAATGAAATATTGCCGCTGCTCACATGATAAATGTCCACTAATAAACATGACGGAACGTATAGTCATTTTTATGGTGTAAATTATTAAAAATGAACCGTTTGATGGGTACATTTACATGAATATGAAACATAGATTAATACATAAATCCTGAACAGATTGTTGACCTGGTTTATAGTAATAGGATTCTGTTCCTAAATTTGTTTGCTTCATACAGCCTATACTTTATATAGTTTGTTCTACTGGTATAAACTACCCATCAATGTAGACAGAAAACCAATACTTATACAAATATCCAAGTATATAAAGACACTACCTTATTAAATATATGAATATAAAACGCAATAAAAGGCTAATAAATACCAAAGACTTTGTAAAGTGGATGATCGCACGACAACGCCGACGCTGAATATAAATTATAAGGTTGGTATCTTTGATGACTTTATAAACAAAATAAAAATATGCTATCAGTTGCCGGGGTAACAAGCTACAGGTGCCAGACCACCAATTCACTCACTCCAATTTAGAACATTAAAACTAGTGCTTTTGATGTCATTGTTTACTTTAAAAAACCAACAAATTTGTAGAAATGAAACTTTTGGTGAAAGAGAAATATATTTAGACCTTTTTAATCCAAAATTTACTTGTCAATGAGTTTGCATTAAAAATTGAGGATTAATGCACTCAATAGTATTATATATATAAGATTTCCAGAATACAAGGGGTTATTTTTAGTAGTAGTTGCCTTCCAAACGGCGGTATTTCACAAGACTTTACACTTTGGTTCAAAATTGGCATTTAGAAAGTGATACATGTACAATTCAGGATGAACCTGGTTTCTATGAAGGCAGTCATTGAAGCTGTAAAAATTGAAAAAAATTGTTGGATTAGATAGGGATTTTGAATTGGTGGTCTGACACCTTTACATGTGAGCATGTTATCCTGTGTGAATGAGGTAATATAATCAATCACAACTCCGTGTTTAATGAATGTTTCTTGTGGGTGTATCATAAGTGATCACTTTTCAACTTGTTTATTTATTTTTTTTTCTGGTTCGGAAAATATTTTCTGAGTCCTATCGAGTGTAAAAAGACAATAAAACCACGAACATATCATTAACATTATCTATAAAAAGATGATAAAAACTAATAGTTGGCGTAATATACTTAGTCTACCACTAAGCAATGATAAAAAAATGTTACTGACCTGAAAATAATTAAGGCCATGAATTATTCATTTTTATTTGTTTGTCAACAAGTGCAATGTGTAAACAAATTAATATACGAAGGCCGTACAGTGACCTGTAGTTTTTTAAACTATTGGCCTTTGTTCGTCGGCGGATAGTTGTCTCATTGGCAACCATACTACATTTTTTTAATATAGCTTGTAAATTTAGAGCTTTGTCTAACAATGTTAAAAGTTGAAGGTTGGACAAAAATTATCGTTGTTTATTAGAAAAAAATACTGCTTATCCACAATAAAATAGAACAGAATAGAATATTTTATTATTCCAAATTACAAGGCCAATAAAGAGCATGTAAATCAGATACAATGATTCAAGTAATTAAGTCAACAATAAGACATTATATAAATAACACATAGCTGAGAGGGTGATAGAGCAGATTGTTACCCCGAGAAAACATTGTCAACTGAGGGTGATAGAGCAGATTGTTACCCCGAGAAAACATTGTCAACTGAGGGTGATAGAGCAGATTGTTACCCCGAGAAAACATTGTCAACTGAGGCGAAACCAAGGTTGACAATGTCTTTTCGAGGGGTAACAATCTCCTCTATCACCCTCTCAGATATGTGTTATTTAATTTATTATACTGAATGTTCTGTTATTACTGTCTATTAAATTTTAATTTCAAAGTAATAAACTATGACGTCTTGTACATAACAATCATCCGTATTTATTAAAGCGCACACTTGAGCAAACGTCTCCGTGAAGGTTAATAGAGTATTTGCCACGGGATAGAGTAAATTATCTCCCTCGTACTAACCAATCAAAATCTGGCATTTTGACATGAAGTATAATAATACAATATAATATAAATATCACCATAAGCCTTAGTCAGAACAGAGCCAAAACAAAATAAAAACAAAAAAATCATGTTTTGTACAAGGCCAGTACTTTTGAATTATTACAATTTAAGAAAAATTTCTCATTATATGTTCATAGTACTACACCACGGAGGTACTGGAACTTCATTTTTTTAGTACAAATATAAAGATATATAATTATGATATGGAAATAGTGCAATAGTTTCGAAGTATTGCATCAGTATTACAATTTTTAGGTACATTTTTAGTACTATAAAAATATATTACTAAGAAAGTACACGTGCAAATATAGCTGTGTAATGTATTAATGCATTTTATAAATAGACAGATAGATTTAAACTCGAACATCAAGCATACTGAAGAAATTCAGCTTATTAAAAGTAATTAAAAAAGAATACAAAAATTGAAACTGGAAACAGAAAGTAGAATAGATGAATAATTGTTGCTTGCTAAAGGTCTAGTGGCAAATATTTCATGTATATTCAGCATTTTTTTAGGTATATACCTTAGTATAGGTATTTTTTTCAAAGACAAGTGACTGTGGTTTGTGTTTTAAATGTAATTTTTGCTGATTAAATTAAGGAGATGGAGTATGATTGCCAATGAGACAACCATCCACAAAAGTTCAAATGAAGAGGATGTAAGCAATTATAGGAAACCGTACGGCTTTCAATATTCATTTGTGAGGCAAATGTTCAAGATTATCAGAAACTATTAAAATGCATTCAAGAGGGCCTGGATGGGGTTTGCAGAATAGAGAATAAAAGACAAAAATGCAGAATAAAAGGGTCAAAATAATAAAGAATAGAGAAAAATGGACCAAAATAATAAAGAATAGAGAAAAATGGACCAAAATAATAAAGAATAGAGAAAAATGGACCAAACTAATAAAGAATAGAGAATAATGGGGTGCTAAAATATAAAAAAAAAAAGATAGAGAATAATGGGCCAAAAATATAAAGAATGGAGAAAAACGGGCTAAAACAATAAAGAATACAGAAGGAGAGAACCCCCATCTATACCCTCATTCAAGACAAGATTTCTGCTGGTGAGTTATATCTATGTATATTTGTTTATTATGGTGCAACTTGATGGCCGTGCGTTGACCTATAGTTGCAAAATCTCTGGTGGATAGTTGTCTCAATGGCATCCATACCCCATCTCCTTGTTTTTTATATGTTTATACATTAAAAAAATCAAATATCAGCCACCATTGAGAAGACTAATGAAACACTTTGTTAAAAAAATTAATTATTCAAAGAAAGTTATTTTACAATGTCATTTGGACACGAAAGATAAAATTATCAATGATGAATTTTGCAACTACTTTTATCCTTGTACTGAGTAAGTTTAAAGTTTGTCCATATCAGATAGATTTGTTAAATCAAAGTTATATTTGGTTTGATAGTCTGTTAACATGGAAACATGTTTTTTTATTGAATATGTTAATTTCATAATATATTTATAGACTAAGTCGCAATTTATAGACACGTGTCTAAATTCAAAGAACGTGGTCTGAACTCGTGCTGTCGCTTGGTTTTTAATTTCTTTGAGTTGAGTTCTCATTGACGCCATCTATTCACATGCTTAAAGACGAAAGTAAACACACGACAACCCTGACTAACACCATTTTCATTTTCTAAGATGACAGTTATAATTTTGTAATATTCCAGATGACATAATTGATTTCACACCAAATTTCTTAGCTTAGTATTGACGTTTTTTTTTATTTCTATTTATCTCAAAACACCTGATAACTTTATAAAAAAATAAGTTCCTGTGTGTGTTTTAACCGGTTCGGATCAGTTTGATAAATTTCGATAAACCACACATTGATTAAATTTATGATTTACCACCATATTTATTCGGAATACTTCACTCACGTTTTTCCATTAAATCATTAGAACAAAAGAATCTACCACTTTATCCAGTTGACACCAATATTTATCCACGCTTAATAATTAAAGTTTCAAGTTTTAAAATACTCACTAAACCTCGCAATTTTAAGTTTCCAGGAGATACATATCGTAAACTTTATTGAACTAAACAATACTTTGTATTGATTTGATTTATATTTTATTTTAACAAAGCTATATCTCCGAAGTAATTTTCATCTTTGTGAAAATCTGTTCCGGAATACCTCTGTTTTTATCAATTACTAGTATTTGCTTTGTTTTTTATTCGAATACGTTAGATCATAACCAGTATAAATTCCAATTTAAAACTCTCAATCCGTGCTTTTTTGTCGGTTTCCTGTAGTATTTGAATATATTAAGCTTTAAAATGTAACGTCTGCTAAATCTAAAAATAACTTACCTTTGGAAGATAAAGCGACTGTGAAAACTCACACAATTGCAGTATAAAAAAACAACAAAGTACAAAATCGAAAATATGATTAAAATCCATATCTCTACGTCTTCAGCACGGACCAAGTGTTGACCTGACGTCAGTTAAGGATAAAATGGACCGAATGTCCACACAAGTCGTGACAATAATGTGTCACCTTCAACAGTCTAACTAGCAATACGATTTTACCAATTAGCTATAACTCTGGACAGTTTACAATCAGTTTGACCCATTTACTTGTACTGTGGTAAAACAATGAAGTGGGAAAATTGTCGGAAGCTTTATAATAAAAGACACATAAATGACAAATGGGAAAAATATAGAAATATAATCATAACGACATATTTGTCCGTCAATGATCATTCCTCTTTTTATTTTTAATATTTTTTTATTGGTCATATAACCACTCAATGTACTTTGTCTATCAAAAACATAATCAAATTAATAAATACATACAATATATTTGTAAACATGTGACGAACTTAATATTGGAGTTTCTTTAGCAAATTTTACCCAATATGTATAAATAAGAAGATGTGGTATGATTGTCAATAAGACAACTTTATGTTTATTTTTTCTATAACGTATTTAATATAACACTTAATTACATAAATCTAAAATAAATATAGCTCATGCTTACGTGTCGATCAGTCCAGATGAATAAACTACATATATTTATTTTTAAATAATTAAAATCGTTCATAAATTAAGAAATTATTAAAAAAATATTAAGAAACATAGGATTTTCTATGTCTCTTTTGGTCATAAAGTTCTTCACGTGTTTCGGTTCTTATGCATCCTTGACTTTCAAATGTTTGGCTTTGCTCGTTCCTGATCAAGGTAAACACAGAAAGGGGCTACGGTGCATAAAAGGCAAACGATTTATGAAGAGTTATTTTTATTTCCTTTTTATTTAAGTGAAAAACAAATTGTATAATTCTCACCTTCATTAATATTCAATTTATTAATTAAACATTTCTGTGTCATACAAGTGAACTATATAAAAAAAAATTTGTTTGTTTGATATAATATTTATAAACGAGAACACTCTTTTGTACTATATATATATATATAAAGACGGAAATGTGGCATGATAGCCAATGAGACAACTATCCACCCAGGGGCGGATCCAGCCATTTTTAAAAAGGGCGTGAATGTCACTGTCTACTTAATCGGTATACCAAGTATGTGGTTTTGTTAAACACGTTAGTTAGTTAGAATTTAGGTGTCAGACCACCAATTCACTGACTGCAATTTAGAACGTATGCAAGTAGCTCTTACCTGACAAAAAATAGTGCTTTTGATATCATTGTTTACTTAAACGAACCAACAAATTTGAAGAAACGAAGCTTTTGTTGAAAGAGAACTATGTGTAGACCATTTTGAGCCAACATTTACTTGCCAATGAGTTTGCATTAAAATTTGAGGATTAATGCGCTCCATAGTATACTTATTTAAGATTTCCAGAAAACCAGGGGTTATTCTTAGCAGTACTTGTCTTTCGAACGTTAGTATTTCGCGACAAGACTTTAAACACACTATGTTGAAAATTGGCATGTAGAAAGGTGATACATGTACAATTCAGGATATACCTGGTTTCTATGAAGTTAAACTTAAAGTGAAATATTCAGAAAGCTGTGAAAATTGCAAAATTTGGTTGAATAGATAGGGATTTTGAATCGGTGGTCTGACACCTATAGACAGATCGATATGTTTCTCCAGAGACATATAGACATATAATACATATCTCCAATTTATGATTTTTAGGTACAAGTATGCCGGTAAATGTCTTTGTTTGATAAGCAGGTGACAGAGGTCACATAAGTTGTAAATTATTATTAACTGTTAGAATGTTGACAGGGAATCAAATTCAGGTGTTTCCGGTATTACATGTGATCTAATTCGTAAGTTACGCATAAGTGGCGGTACATTTTTATTTGACTAACGGCATGTATCGACTACAAAGACTCCTAATGATTTAAAGAAAAATCCCGAGTTTAATATTCCGAATAGATAGCCGACTATACGGTATGGATATTTCTCATTGTTGAAAGCCGTACTGTTGCCTATAATTGCTTACATCCACCTTATTTGAACTTGGGTGGATAGTTGTATCATTAGCAATCATACCACATCTCCTTATTTTTATAAAGAAGGTAAATTAAACGAGACAAATTTAATAATCGATTGATTTATATATCGTGTAATTAGTATCCAACTTGGCAGCGCTAGTTAAATGCACACAGAATAAGCATTATGAGACAACAATCCTAAAAAGACCCAACCGGCAATTGAATACGAATATACTGTTATAGCATATTGAGGTCACCCTGTATTTTCTGATTCCTGATGTTTTTATGTTACAGTATTAAAAATTACTCTAATAATTCACTTTAATGGACTATTTAAATGTATTAGGATAACTTAAGCTTGTTATAGAAAAACATCTTTAGAGATCCGAAACAATGGTACAGTGATATTGATTTTTGGACGTATGTTTTGTGGTTATAGGACATCAGAAACAATGTGTGGGATATGAAAGTTATTCAGTAAATCTTCCCTACCATCCCAAATAACAGTATTTCTTGGATGTAGGCGCTTTTGCAAGGTTAATTGCAAAGCATGACCGCTATGCCCTAATTATTGTGGCAAAGGTTACAATTACCCACAATTTCGTCTTGTGTCCATTAACTCGTCATGTCATACCAGCTGATTGATTATAAAAATAGCTTTCTTCAATATGCTTATCGACTAGCTACTGAACGCAGGGGCGGATCCAGCCATATTTAAAAGGGGTTTCTCAACCAGGATAAAGAGGGGTTCCGACTATATGCCCCATTCAAATGCATTGATCGTCAAAAAAGGGTTGTGTATATAAGTGGACCAAGTTAGGAGCGTGTAATTCAAATATGGTCGCTTGTTGTTGTATACTTTATTTGTTTTTTGTATATTGTTTTTTTTTTACATAAATCAGGCCGTTAGTTTTCTCATTTGAATTGTTTATATTTGTAATGACGGAGTCTTTTATAGCTTGCTAGGCGGTATGGCTTCTGCTCATTGTTGAACACCGTACAGTGGCCTATAGACAACAGTTGCTAACTTTTGAGTCATTTGGTGTCTGGTGGAAAGTTGTCTCATTGTCAGTCATACCATATCTTATTGTTTATACAGCAATAAAATTCCAAGAAGTCATACTTGTGAGCTAGAGAAATCCAAATTTTGAGTAAGAAAATTCAAATCAAAATTTGCTACCATGAGTAATTCGCGCAGACATATACAGAGGAACATATAGTTTGCAGCATGGACAAACATACTAGTATTTCATTGATTCTAAGGGCGAGGTGACGATGTTGGAACAAAAAAATAGACATTTATTAGAATAATTTTATTTTCAATTGTTAGTTTAATTTTTCACATTAATATGAAAGGCTATGTCGTTATTACATCATCAACATACCAATAAGATCGATTGATTTATGATTTACGCCACTTTCAGAACTACAAAACTGTATTTGCTATTTCATGGCGGTCAGTTTTTATTGATGGAGGAAGTCGGAGTGCCCGGAGAGTTCCACCGACCTTCGGCATGAAAACTGAGAATTCTTGTCAATTAAGATTGGAGTCGAGCATGCCTGCCACGTGCGGGGTTCGAACTAACAACCTCAGTGTTGACAGGCTATTGATACAGTAAACCAATCAGCCACTCCATATCAATAAGATAATTTTCTTAGAGAAAGAGAGTATTTCAATTTTTAGTTCTTATTCTTTAATCGAAATTACATATGTTTTACATATAGACAGAAAACGTACATTGTTTGTAAAACCAAGGCCATGCCATTTTGTTTTTGTTTTTTGTCAAGTCTAATTTTCAGAACATGCCAGTCAGCCAGGAAAAAAAAATTAAAACTCATTTCTCAACCTAATTGCCATAATTTGGTGCAATTTGGTAACTTATATCCGTTCTTGTTCAATATAGATCTAGTGGCCGAGAAAGTAGTTCATCTACTGTATAACTAGCCTAATAACACTGAGGCAGGTTCGTTCGACTTCAATCTTACAATCTTAATTGACCAGGATCGCCAGTTTATCTGACGAAGATTGGTGGTTCTCTTCGGACACTCCGTCGTTCACCAGCAATAAAAACTGACCGCCACGATACAGACAGCTGAAAAAAGTGTTAAACACAAAAAAAAAATCAATCAGTAGGTTTATCAAGCAAAATACGCACAAGCAAAGAATTTTTTTAATTTTTCGAACCGTATTATGAATTGAGCTATAGATATTATATAAATTCAAATGTTACCGCAGTAAAATCGCTATTTCCAGATTTTCGAAAGACTTTTTAGAATATATTTGCTTTGTTTTTTGTCTTCTCGAAGAGAAAATAGTTCGCTCGCTCGAAATAATTCCCATATAAATTTAACTTGTAGAGACCTAATTCTATTTCATATAATTTATTTAGTTCAGAACAGTTCCGATGGTGTATTGAGCAACCGTCATAGCCTCTGGTATTAGCTGGAAATCAGTGGGCTCTAAACTTTAAGTTTCTTTGAGTCAATGTCCAGAACGGGCATCGTTGTTTATTTGCTTGTGCAAAATAGACGTGTTTGTGTATTTATATATAACGTACAACCAAACGGGTTTTATAGCATTCTTGCAGTCAATGTCCTGAACGGGCATGGTTGTTTATTTGCAAACAAAAAGAGATGTATTTATACAGCCCATACAATCAAACGGCTTTTTTTTTTGCATTCTTGTAATGAATATGTGTAAATTGATTTCTTGAAGTAATAATGACCGACATGCATATATTTGTTTTTTTTCGGTAATGTTTTATACCACTTTTAGGGTGTTGTATATAAAGTATTTCCCAATCGTTTTGTAGCAATTTATTTTGAAGATTAGCCATAATTCTTTAAATATATTTTTTTATTATATATTAGTCCATATATATAATGTTAAATTGTTGCACTAAAATAGGTTTTGGACAGTTCAAACCTTGAACTGATTCTGAAAATTCTAGCCAAGAATAAATTTACGTTTTTCCACTGTTACCAAAACACCTTACCTAACTTTTTTCCGTTACGGTAGATTCACAAGGAGTAGTAGTAATTAATGGTTGTTGGAACATCAACAATAATTCTCAAAGTGGATGAGAAATACATTATCAACAATAGTTTGCACTTTGAACTGCTGGTATCAAAGGCGGAGCAGGAAATACTGATCCGTCCGGAGCACCCAAATTCAGATTATGTTTTTAATGGGGTTCGTGTTGCGCTTTCTTTATAGTGTTTTGTTTTTATTTTCTGTTATTTGTCTTTTCGTCGTTTAATTTACCATGGTGTTGTCTTTTTATCTTCGATCTGTGGTTTTTGATTGGTTCAAGTACGTTGACGGCCATGTCTCTTGTGCAGGTTACTGTCACGTGGTTATTATCACGTGGTTACTGTATGGGTTTTTTTCACGATTTTGTGAAAAAGATTTTTGAATTGATAATGATGTCGCGGTCGAGTGATATTAAAAACAAAAAACATTTTACGGTGCCATCGTTTTATTGACCGTGTTCAATAGGGTGATGTAAACAGAGACATTTGTATTCAAAACAATGTCCGTGGCCGCCATTGACGCAATCATCTTGTTTACAGTCCTCAAAGTCGTTACATGCTGAAATAAAGTAAATAAAAAAATCATTAACGCTCAAACATTCCAAAATGTGAAAGGATCTGGGTTGAGGGGTCTTCATATCTTTAATCATATTAAGTCTATGCTATATTCCTACGAACAACGAAAACATGGACGCTCGAAGAGGTAAGGGAGTACTAGCGTATGACATTATTTGTATATAATTTAATTTTGGATGTAACGCGTCTTCTGATTGGCTGACGTTGTTTTGTTTATCAGCTCATAGACATAATTTTGTCATGTGACCGTGACGTCATCAACGTTTTTTCATGGTTTACTCCGGTTTAAAATGGAATTTAGAATTAAATTATAAGAAATGACTGTAATATTTTTTCTGTCTATTCGAAATAACATAAAAAATGTGGTGCACACTTTAAAATAACCCGCTACGCGGGTTATTCAGTGTCCACCACATTTTTTATGTTATTTCTTCATAGACAGAAAAAAATATTACAGTCATTCCTTAAATAAAAATTAAATAGAATAAACACTTTATAAAATTGGTGAGCCCGAAGCTCTTTTCTGTATTTACCTTCACCAAAAACGTTCAAATACAAAAAATAGAGCAAAAAATACATGAGTACGTGAAAACTCGAGGAGAGATTTGAAAATTTGAAACAAAAGGAAGAGCCTTGTCAATTTAAGGTCAATTTTGCCTAAGGGTTTTTGAACCTTAGTTTAATTTTACCTTAAATTTATCAAATTGAACGCAGAATTTAAACAAGAAAAATGGCTTCTATACGTACTCACGTTTTCCAAAAAAAAACTCAGTCATAAAATTTGTATTACATGTAATATACTTTATACATGTAAATGATTCTGCAAATTTGATCAACCATTTCTCGTGTTACATATTTAAGGCTTGTTATGCTCACCTGGCTTATCAGTACATACCCATTATTGGCAATCGGTTCAGAGCCTTTAGAAGAGAAGATAGTTTAAATGTTTGGCAGAGGATGCAACTTATCACCAAACCATGACAATAGCTCAACCACTGGATAAGGAGCGAGAAAAAACCCAACCCCCACACCCACATAACAGTTATTCTTATTCATAAGAAATGGCAGCAGCAGAATTACGCTTTAAATCAACTAACAATTGCCGAAATATTCCACACAGGCACATGTTCCAAACAAGCATGTAGTATTATGTGTATGAGCACACCTTGTTGTCTTACAATCTGTCCCAGTACCACAATGTTCACTTTTAACAGTTATGGCTGAAAACAGAGAAAATGCTAGTATTAATAGCATATTTAGTTTTAAAGCATTATTAGTAGTTGATCTTTGACAATAAACAATATTCCAGTGTTTCAACAATAGCTCAAAGGTTATTTAAAAAAGATAGTAAATGGGCAAAATGATATTGACTGTGTTATTTCTTGACTCACCCTTTTATTTTTAATCGTTTTAAAGTAAAATGATGGGTTCAGTTCTGAAACACACGTTAATCCATTTTGCATCATAAATCGAGATAAGACAGGGTTAAATAAAAGCATATGCAACATAAATCATAAAATGCAATATAACAACAAACCCTAAAGTATCATTGCTCTTCTACTTCGTACTTTATTTGGCCTATTTAACTTTTTTCGATTCGAGTGTCACTGATGAATCATTTATAGACGAAACGCGCGTTTTAATCCTGGTATCTATGATGAGTTTATTTTTGTTTCATCTGGTTGTTATTACTTATGCAGTGTTATGATGTTTTTTAAAATATAAAACAACTGCCCTTTAGTTTTCATGCATGTTCATGACGAGAAAAAATTATCAATAAATACAATAGGTACATGTAGGTACATGTAGGTCCTGTTATATAGGTCGTTATATGGGATGAAGGTCGGGAAGATTTGGACTGCCACGAGAAAATGAGGGTATAATAAATTGTATATTGACGGCAATTTTGTCTTACAACTGTTCACCTACGGACCCTCAAAGAGTTGTTGGAAGGATACTTTACTTGCAGAGCATATTTAGTTTTAAAGAATTTTTAGTAGTTGATCTTTGACAATAATCAATATTCAAGACTTGGTGTTGTTTCAACAATAGCTCAAAGGTTATTTAAAAAATATATTAAAAGGGCAAAATAATACTGATTGTGTTATTCCTCGACTCCCCATTTTAAAACGTTTTAAAGTAAAATCATGGTGGGTTCAGTTCTGAGACACACGTTAACCAATTTTGCGTAATAAATCAAGATAAGACAGTTTAAACATCAACATACGCAAAATAAATGCATTTTGTAATTAGATTTTTCTATAATGCATCAGTTATGAAAACAAACTTACCTAATAAAGTGCACAATAAAACTATTTTGATGTCCATTTCTCCTTTGTCTAAATTGTATCGAACTTTACTGATAAGTCTAAAATGCGTTTCACGGTCACACTGTTAAATTTTCTCAAAGAGATAGTGTCTAATCTTGGTAGTTTAATCTTTAAGAACTATAAGGTGCAGCATTGTCCTGATTTAACCATGTGCGGATCCAGGATAAGATGTCAGGGGGGGCTCTTCAGAATTAGAAGTTAGAGGACTATATTTTGACAAAAGATTGTCTATAATTATACCTGCAAATAAAATGTTTTTCTTATTTAAGGGGGCGGGCGCCGTGCATACCTGTATGAATCCGTGCTTGATTACCTACAGTGCCACGGACAAACGTTCTTATTGTTTTAAAGTTTTATGTGAAGGTGGGGAAACAGTGCCACGGACAAACGTTCTTATTGTTTTAAAGTTTTATGTGAAGGTGGGGGAGGCATTGATATTGAAAATATTTGTAATATTCGTTCATTTATTGTTCGTGATAAAAATGTTATTTTAATAAAAACTTACTAGAAAAATACTTATTTTTACATTTAAGCGTGGCTATAACTCCCTTAAATGCATACGTAGTGTAGAAAAGGGATAAGCTCGGCCAGTTGCGCAAGGATATCTAAGGTTGGGCCACTTAGCCAACACCACATGATCAGTCACATGTTGTTACGCTAATGCTCACTTAGCCTGCACCTCCTTGTTGAAGTGTACTTACTTACATTGTAAAGTATTCACTCATTTAAGAGGATAAGCACTTGTTCCGTGTAGGAATACAATAACCTTCTGAAAAAATCAACTATAAATACAAGGCAACTGTATTACCCAATTTACAAATGTAATTTTTAGTCGTGTGTACATGCATCGCATTACATTTTGTTAACTATACAAAGAAGAATAACTCTTAATGAATAATTATCGATGCCAATAAATTTTCAATAAAATTCGTTTGATTTTTGAGAATTTAAAAAAATTCGCATATGTAACATTAAACTTAACGAGATGGCTAACTAGTGGAGTGCCTCTTTTACTTAAATCCTTATACCAAAGATGTCTTCATTATGAAAGAGAAATAATTGTTATTCAGCATTTACAACACAATAAATCAAAACATATATAATTATTCTGTTTACTTTGTGACAAAAGTTTTAATCTTTCCAAATGTTCATTTCCTCCAAGAGCATCCTTATGTTTTTTTGATTTACCACTTAAGTTATTTGAATCAAGAGGGTCTGTATGGGGTTCTTCATTTCTTGATTCTTTTATTTTTTTTTTATTATTTTTCTCTTTTCTAAAAATATTTTGCTTCTTATTCTCTATTCTTTATATTTAACACGTCCCCCTTATTCTCTATTTTGTGCCTATTTTTCTCAATTTTTCCCTCTATACTCTGCGCTTTTTGTTCATTATTGTCTATTCTGTAAACCCCATCTTGACCCTCAAGCAAGCTGTGTTTAACACGCGCTCCTCTACAGCTCCGACATTCCTAAAGTAAAAATGGAACTAAAGGCAGAACAATGGTCTCACATGGTCTCACATGGCCTCACATGGCCTGGTGCACAACTTCAACATATGTACAATTGAGGGATCTGTCTGAGTGAGGTCAGTGAGTTGAAAACTGTAGAAGAAGTTGATTACTTAAAAATTTTAACCCTGTTTATAAATGTTCCCAAGTGTGGAAACATGAGAAAAACATTATTAAACAATTAGAAATACATAATTATATAATAGCACAATGGAAAATCTTCCAGTGAAGTTTTAGGGATCACGGTTAAAGATTACACAAACTCGGTACCTACTTTTCCAGATCGCCCGCCCATCATATGGCAAAATTTGGCAGAGGCTGAATTATAAAGAACAAAGAAAAACGGTCTAAAAATTAAAGAATAAAGAAAAATGGTCTAAAAAAATAAAGAATAAAGAAATAAAGGACCCCCAACCAGACCCTCAGTTTACTTTTGTCTGACAAATCTACAACATCACTTTACTCTCCTTATAACAGATAAGTTAAGTTAATAATGAAAAGGTAATCAGTTGTTTATTTATTCATCCGTGCAAAATTAGGCTACATGTTGAAAGATTGAGTTCTGATTTTTTTTTTGCACCACGCAAGCATCAAATTATTTTTTTTTAAATTTTCTCTGATCTTAATTTCTCCCAAGATCGGGGTCAATATTTTTTTCTGCGAAAAAACCATACCCCTCACCCTAAGAGTTAGATGGTCGTTCATTTGTTTGCCAAGTATTTATTGACAATGATTTTGATAATGAAGAAGCAGTCAGTCAGAGTTATTCTTCTTGGTATAGTTAACAAAGTGTAATGCAATGATTGGGGTAGTTGTACACAAGATCAAACACACAAAAATATGAAAAGAAGTCATACTGTTTGTTAATTGGGTATTGGGTAATACTCCTGCTTTATATTACCAGTGAGACTTTAAGAAGGTCATTGCATTCATACATTGCACAATACTTTTAGTGTTTACCCCCTTATAGACTTGTGAGTGAATATGTCTATGTCAATCTTGCAAAGTCAGTTAGGGAACTAATCATCTGAGAAAGAGAAATAAGGATATGTTTCTTTTATTCTGATTTTTTCCGTACCACGCAAGCATCAAGCTATTTATGTTTTAAAACGCAGAGAAATAACATGAAATTGAATAGCAAATATTGTTTTCTCTTAAAGTTAGGAATCAGTGATCAGTTTCACAAAAAATCTTACGACTGAAGTTGATCGCAAGTATACTGAAGTGTTCATGACTTACGATCAACTTTTTTCGTAAGATTTTTTGTGAAACTGATCATAGAATACCCATCCCCGTTTCAGTGTTAAATGGTTTTTCCCTTAGTAAATTTCAAAAGGCGATACAGGCTAAGTGACCAATTGTGGAGGCTAGTCGGGTGGTGTTGGCTAAGTGTCTAATTGTGCAACCCAAAATATCCTTGCGCAAATTGCGCAACTGGCCACTTACTACCTTTACTACACTTCTCATGTAACCTTTGAACGGAATGTACCACACTTGCGTCTGTTGTCAAACAATTTATGCACCTGTTTTTTTTCTCTTTGGCTATATTCGAAATGGCTCTTTAGTTGATAACTTATAGGAATCAATATAAAATAAAGATGATCTCTTATTGACACTATTCCTTCATCTTTTTTATTACTACCTGTAACGTCTATGTTATATAGGCACAGGTCTACGTTTTAATATTGTATTTATATTGTGTCATAGATCAAACTTATTCGTTCAGTGTATGTTTACTTGTTTTTGTTTAAATGTCTTTTTGATCGAGTTAAGCCATTTCAATTGTTATTTTACAGTGTGACTTTTTATATTATAATGTTACACTACTGTCTCAGGTTAGGGTGAAGGTTGGCGCCTGTCAAAACGTTTAAACCCGCTGTATTTGTATGCAACTGTCCTAAGTCAAGAGCCTGTTATTCAGTGGTTGTCAGTGAATTGTTTTACACTAGTCATTTTGGGGCCCTTTATAGCTTGTTATTCGGTGTGAGCCAAGGCTCCATGTTGAAGGCCGTACTTTGACCTATAATTGTTAACTTTTTATACATTGTGACTTAGATGGAAAGTTGTCTCATTGGCACTCATACCACATCTTCTTATTTATATGGACATAAAACCAATACATGTTTTGGTGACAGAAGAGGTAACTACACAAGAGAGAAGGATTTGTAGGTCCAGTGATGTATTGCTTTTAGTCTTGTATATGGAGGCTGGTACGTCAGTCACTCATTTTGCTTTTTACAAGGATGACATTGATGGAATCCGAAGTTATGCTATTGCGGGGAATTTGTGGACTTCTTTTTGGTTTTTAAAACACGTTACCGAAAAACCTTACGCTTGCACAAAATTATCACATGTTTTATACATAAACTACAGAAATACAACTTGCTGTATTTTAAATGTTTTTTTTTTTATAAAGAGATATCGTAGTAAAATATTTCTATCAAGTGATATCGCTATAATATCCTTTATGTTAGTCTTAACGCATTCCTTTTTCAAAAAGAATACATATATTATGTGTATTGGAAAAAAAACCCAAAATCTTAAATGTTTACAATTTTGCATCCCGATTCCACAAGAAGAAAGTAAGGTTTACTTGTGTCCAATCCATTTTACTTTGAGTAAATAAAATATGTTTAAACTAAATTCATGACACCAAATTCCCAAATGAACCTGACACAAACAAAAACAGAGGGACAGTGCTATTATTTGTGTTCTTCGTCTTAAAGTTACAATGAAATCTTCAACACTGAGCAACCCCCCCCAACCTAACCTAAAAAAACAACATAAAAAACAAAAATTCTATAAAATTATCAAAAACCCAATCGCATAATTGCTCCATTTTTAGGAGAAGCATTTAATGAAAATGATATTTGCTAGAATTTGAAATTTGATGTAAATGCGATAAAAATTCAGGGAAAGGGTCTGCAGAATTTAACTTCTACAGGAAAAGTAAGCATATGGTTCTGTTGTACAGGTTTTTTTTTTATCTTGCGGACCAATAACAGATAAACTTTAACATATAGATTTACACAGTTCATGTTAAGTGAATCGAGACAGCTGTAAAAATGGCAGAAAACAAACAAAACAAAACAAAACAAAACAAAACAAAACAAAACAAAACAAAGACAAAACAAAACAAGACAATACAACAAAATCAACAGCAACAACAACAAAAATAAAAATAATAAAATCCCAACAAACCTGGAAAATAAACCGAGAGGGTCCCGTGTTCTCCCAAACGGCTGTATTACCAATGCAAAAAGTAGCGTCTAGATCTGTGGTTGAATGTATATAAAATTGAGAATGGAAATGGGGAATGTGTCAAAGAGACAACAACCCGACCATAGAGCAGACAACAGCCGAATGTTTGTCCAGTTTGAAAAAAAGGAACTTAAATTCAATGTTTCAGGTAGGCATAGCGCAACGCTCTATGCACGTTAAAGAATCATTGCAACAACTCTTAGAGGTTCCGTAGTTAGCCTGTTACAAGGCAAAATTAGTTATCAGCCTATTTAACATACTAGTACCCTTTTCAGTAGC